TTAAATTCACATTGCGTTACTCCGAACATTCTCACAATTCGGTCCATTAGGTCAAGTCGAATATGTATCCTTAATTCATGAATAAACGCTTTATGTTCTCTATAATTAATCGCTGAAATGTTTTTGATTTTTTTCAAAACAATATACTTGTTTGTTCGTCTCCACAGAGCTTTTTCAACGAAACCAAAACCACCTTCTTTAATACACTTTCTATCAGTAAATTGATTAATATCGATTAAATCAACACCGAGTTTATGGACAATTGATAAAAGAGATCCCGGAGAAATATCTTTGTCCATTAGAGGCATCACATCCAGATCAATTTTCAACTTTTTATTAAACTCCTCCATTTGGGATGCTTGACGAAATTCGTCAGCTATCCGAAATTCAGTAACGATTTGTGTATCAATATTTCGTTCTACCTCAAGATACCATTCACCCAATGTATTGACTATTTGCGTTATTGAGGGACGTAATTTCGGATTATCGTTCAAGCACTGATTCATTAGGTCAACATAGGATTTCGGTGCACCTTTAGGTGTAAGGTCTAAGATAGAATCCTCATGAACTTCTTTAACATATGGTGATGAGAATTTATACATGATTAAACCGAACGAGTATATATTACTTTCTTCAGTGGCAATAAAATTTTTTAAGTACTCTGGTGCTTGACACCTTGGAGCATAGAATCTGTTATTGTTATAATCTATATCACTTTTATCACCCACACAAACAAAATCCCTAAATGCAATGATCTGATCATTTTTTATACAAAATGAATTTGTCCCTAATGCTGTTGAAACAAATCCAGAATCGATAATAGATTGTAAGTCTCTAGAAATTTGCCATAAGAAATTGATCCTAGTTTTCCAATTCAAATTAATACAGTTTGATCGTAGATATTCAAGAAGTATCCCTTTTTCAGCATATTCACCAACTGATATGAGTGCATTTGTTTCTGGATCTTGTGATATCCCATACCAATCAATTCCTGCCGCAAAGTTATTACGTAGGCAATGGAGAAACTTTTTGTGCTGTTAATGACAAACTAATTAAATGCCAATTCAATAAATTTTATAGGAAAAGATTTTCAACAATAACCTGATTTATTACTTCTGTGGTCGTTTCGAGATAATGGACAATCAAATGCACTTGGTGGAGACTCGACCTGAAATACTTTTGTGTTGTTTTGTCCCATAAAATCCTAGGGCCAGAAGGCCAATAAGCACTATAATATTGTACAATACCTACTTTTATTAATTTGAGGGAAGAAAGTTCACTGTATGGTATCCATTCAAATACACTTTTCGTTGAAGTCGATGAAAGCTGAGCTTCTTGAATAAACTGATCTATTTCTATATTTCCACTGGTCCAATTGCTAAAATTTTCACGAAATTGTTTTGCTTCACATGGTTGACACCAGAGATAATGAGTTCGTGGTTCGTTACAATTTGGACAGAAACCATAAAGTGAAATGCTTTGGTTATTCGATTATGTATGAAAAAAAGAAATGTATTTTAATGATAATTTAGGTTTGATTTAAAAGTAAAATAATAAATCTTATACTTACTCTCTTGAGGGGTTTTCAATATCTGGACTATTCATTTAAAATTTAATTTTAATTATCACAAAGACTTTTACTAAAACGAACCTATGGTGTTTTAAACATATGAATACATTATCTCAAAAACTAGCTAATTAATTGGTGCGGGTGTTCTAAGTAAAATGTTCTACGCCTCAAAAAACCCTTCCCGAACCTTAATTCTAATACTAAATGCTAACCTAACGTGAAAAATTTGGTGTTAAAACATAATAAAAACATGATAGATGCCAAATCACCATAGGTGCATTTTATAATAAATAATCATGAATATCGGTATAAAAAATTTTCACTCACTCTCTAAAATTTAAAAAAAAAACAAATTATATAATATATAATTAGTAATTTATTTAATTTAAAGCAACTTTTAAAAATAAATTTATTAAATAATTACTCCAACATTGCGGTACTATCTAAGAGTATCCTTGCAGCTTGTCACAATAAGCTCTATTGCCTTGAAATTTTCAAATAATTTTAACTACAATTTTAAGAAATTATCATATAATTATAAAAAATTTGACTTAGCAAGATGCTTATTGAAAATTAAATGTTACTTTTAAAGTAAACTTTAAAACTTACATAATTTCATAACTGTATGATTAACATAAATTTCGAATTAAGGATACATATTCGACTTGACCTAATGGACCGAATTGTGAGAATGTTCGGAGTAACGCAATGTGAATTTAA